GCCGCGCGCGCCGACAGCTCGTCCACCTAAGAACGACGAAACCGACTGTGCTTGCGCAACGACCTCTCTGAGTGGGCGTCGCGGCGCGCTCGCAGACCGTCTGCTGCCACGGCGCGACGTCAAACTCCGGCGGCACCTCCCCTGTTCACAGCTGCGGGTGTGAAGAGGACAGCGTCCACACCGGCGCCGCGTCGGTGCATTGAGCAGCAGCGAGCCAATTGGCGCGGCGGCCCCAAGCCCCGCGACGCTCCGCACACGCGCCCCTGTTCGCAGCCGCGCGCTGTGACGAGGCGCTGCTTACCGCACCGCTCCCCCGTTGCGCATTCGCGCGCCGTGGCAGCAAGGAGCAGCAGCGGCACCGCCGCCCACCGCCGCCGCCGTCGACGCCGCCGCCGCGGCGCCGTGCGCAGCCGTGCTATTGTGGGCTCTGCCCGCAACTTGCACGGAGGGGCGCGGCGGCCTGAGTGGTGAACAGAGGTGTGAACAGAGGTGTGAACGGAAGAAAGGGGCGGGGGGGGCAGCGGAGATATGGGGAGAGGCGGGGGATACAAAGGAGATAACGGGAGATATGGGGAGATGCGGGGAGATGCGGGGAGATGCGGGCAGATGCGGGGAGATGCGGGGAGATGCGGGCAGATGCGGGCAGATGCGGGGAGATGCGGGGAGGTGCGCCTCGGCGGTGGCGAGGAGGAGGAGGAGGAGGAGCAGGGAGAGCGCGCCGGCCGGCACTCGTCTGCGCGACTACGGACCGCCGCCGCCGCCGCCTGCGGGGGGGGGGGGGGGGGAAAAACCCCCCAAATGCCCCCGGGGTGCGGCCGGGGCTCTGCCCTGCGTGAGGGGGGGGGGCCCGGGGCACCCCTGGGGGCGACCCGACATGTTCGCCGGTGCCACCCCCCTCTTGGGTGTCAGCCCCTTTGTATGTTCTGGCACCTTTTTGGTTGGCTTTGTTTCTTCTTCTCTCATATTGCCTGTCTTCCTTATTTGTTTTTGTTGTTTTTCTCATTTATCTCTTTTTTTTTTTTT